GCCCCACAAATATATGGCATTAACGTTGTTTGATTATGTGAAATACACATGTTTAAAAAAAAAAAAAAATTGTATTCTTTCACCAATATTCCTTTTCAAACACATTTATTTCGAAAATCCTTGCAGAGGTTTGTGTTAAATGACATCCTTTTAACATGTTTAGACAATTTAAGTGAAAGTTTGCCATAACGTTTTTGGCAAAATTGGGGCTCCCAACATTTAAGGGGTCTTTAACTTCAAATTATTATCTTTTGGTACATTTAGGGACACCTTTTGATGCCTTTCAACTGTGATGATAATAAAGACGAACAAATTCAATTCAGGAGCATGTGAGATGGCCATCTCGGGCAAGATCTCCTTTGGAAGGCCTACTCCACCCCTCTCTCCAAGATTTAGAAAAAATATACATGGCTGATAAAGATATTTTAACATTACTTTTATTTTATTTTAAGGTTGAGAAAAGTGTATAAAATTGTCACATAATATTTTGTTAAAGCTTTTAACAAATATAAAGGTCTAGACCAGTTTTGGAAACGCCCCCCCCCCCCCCCTCTCAAAAAATAAAATGGAAGCTCTTATTACCAATCATGTGAAGAATATGTTATGACTAATACGTGATCATACAAATTTTGCCCGGAAACCGCCTGCTAATTGATATATTTGGTAAAATTATCATATCGATCCAGTCTGGATAGATATCGTGAATGCACTTCAACAAACATTTGGGCATATGTTTCTGCTTTTTTTTGTGAATTTAGGTTGAAGTATTGCCATCTAAACCTCTGAAGGCAATATTTAAACAATATTGAATCGATATTTTGCACCCAGAGCCCTTGAACCGCAATTTTACCACTACCGGTCTATACCTTTGATACTTAATTAGTAATGTAGATCTAAAGTTAAGGTTCTTTAAAGAGTTGGGAGCCCCTAAACTTGATGGTATCACATAATGATGTGAGACCAAATTATATAGGTGTTCATTTGAATATTAGGCCTACATGCTACAATTCAATATGTACTCAACATCCACTTAACACTTTGAAGGTGAAAACCGAAGCTGTTTACCCTTTACATTCGTACGTTTCTTAATTAGTATATTGACCAGATTATAAACAGCTCTCATAAAGCTTGGCTGTAGCAAAAACGACATTAGTTAATAGCTCCATGGTATAATACCGCCCTGTTTGGAACATGGAAACATAAATAGAGAGAGGGGTGAAAGAAAGAGGAATAAAAGGGAGAAAAGATAGGAAGAAAGAGGGAAGGAGATGTAGAGAGAGAGAGAGAGAGAGAGAGCGCGAAAGAGGGAAGAGAGAGAGAAACAAACAATGAAGAAAGACTGAGAGAGAGAGAGGGGGGGGGGAGGTGGAAGAACGAGGAATAAAAGGGAGACAAAGGATATAGAGACAGTGAAAGGAAGAGAGAAAAAGAGAGAGAGAAGAATATAAAGTGAGATGTATACAGACAGAGAGAGGGGGTGAGAAACAAGGAAATGGAGAGAAACTGAGAGAGATATAAAGGAGACAGATTGAGAGAGGAAAGAGAGGAGGATAAAGGGCAGAGAGAACAAGAAGGAAGGAGACGAGAGATAGTGAGATACAGAGCCAGAGAGAAATAGAGATGGGGGTTGGGTGAGTAGAGGTAGGGGAGGAGAGGAGAAGGGGACAGGAGCAAAACCGAAGCGTGAGGAGAACTTCGGTCTGTTTCGCGAACGCTAGCACGCGCAGACCCAGTCTATTCCAAAAGAAGTCGTAGATGGCGTTTACCAGTACTTGCCATCCTTTTACCGTTGTCGACCTTTACTTTTTTTTAATTCAGTAACGGTTCTAGCGGGGCTAGGAGGCACATGTAGAAAATAAATGTAAGCACCCCAAGCCCGCCCCCCCCAACCATCCAACCCCATTCTCCCCACACTCTCCTCCCCCAAACAAAATAAATACATTAAAAAAAATATTTAAAAAAACAAAACAAAACAAATTAATACAAAATGAATAAATTTAAAAATCATGCAGCATGTATTTAACGTTTTTTTTTTTTTTAAGGCAAAGACTTTCATGCTTATACTTATTTCCCAACTCTCCTTATCTCTTCTTCCGGTTCCCGTGAATAATGATAATACTGTAGTAGTCCTTGGTGGATGGAAGCTTTAATATAGTTGTGTGACTTTTTGCTCGTTGTTTTTATCGAAACGCACAATTATCTTCCAAATTCCTTCTTCAGCGTGATACCTGAATGTGGTTATTAACGTTCGTCTACATAAAAACCAGTGGGTGCTGGGTTCTGATAGAGTTCTATAAATAAAATGTTGACCTTTTCCTCCGAAGAGCAGTGTCATAAACGCAAAAAACTACCAGAACTACTACTACTACTACTACTACTACTACTACTACTACTACTACTACTACTACTACTATAACTACTACTACTTCTACTACTACTGCTGCTGCTGCTGCTGCTGATGCTATTACTACTACTACTACTACTACTACTACTACTACTACTACTACTACTACTACTACTACTACTACTACTACTATTACTACACAAAATACTGCTACCATACCACTAACTCTACTACTACCACCACCAATAATACCACAACCATCATTAACACGACAACGACTGCTGCTACGATTACTACTGCTACTACTACTACTAATTCTTTTTCTTCTTTTTTCTTTTTTTACTTCTTCTGCCAATAGCGCTTTAGTGTGGTTGTTTATGTCACTGATGACAGCAGAGACATTATAAAATAATAACATCATAAATATGTGTCATTATAGCCATGTTATCTCTTTTTGCGACATTATAATAATTACAATAATTTTAATTGACAAACTATCCATAAACCATTCAACAGCACCTACACAAAAATATAACCATGACGTAATTTTTTTTAAATTTCCGTTTGCGAAGAGTCTGGAACATTGACGAAGTTTCGAAAATAAACTTTTACTTTCGCCGTCTACTTTTAGTTCTACATATCTCAGTCTAGACAACATTTGATTATTTTTATTAAAAAACGAGAAGAAAAAAAACGTAAACAGGTAGCTTTGTGGTGAGAGGAACTGGCATGAGGTCTGACTCGGAAAGACAATTTCACATAGGTGAAACAAACAATGAAATGAAAGAAAATCGTTTAGAGCCACATAAACTTCCACGCCATTCTGATATAGCTCGAGTCTCCAGTTCTATCGCGAAATCCATCACTGCAATTAGTGGTACATGCTGCAACTGTACCCCACTGACGGCAGACCCAAGTGATTGTTGTGTTGATGAATGCTCACGAGGACATGATGGGGCTGATGTGAACGGAACATCTTGTCATTCATATCTTCTTGGTATTAATTAATAAACAGTGCAAGGGATTTTAAAGTTAAACCTTGAAATTGATTTAAAAGAAAATAGTTAATAAGAAATGAAACCGAGAATCCAAGCGGTGACGTCTGAAATTACTCTGAACGTCATTTGAATTAGATTGAATGGTCATGATACTAGATGTCAGTGTGACGTCATAAATTTGGAAATAGCATTAATAACAAAACCAAAAAGGTTCCAACACATGGGAGGGAAAATGAATAAATGAAAGAATGGATGAATGAAAAAATGGGGAAACATAAATTCACGAGGAATTGTTAATTTTAAAGGTACTATGTCCCTTTTGCAGCCAACCTCAAATTATGTAGAACTTTGCAGGAATTATGAATATGTCATGTATGTCCTATCTGTGAAATTTAAACGTTAGCAGTGTCCTCATATTCAAATTATGCAAGGAAACCTGTTTACTTGCTAGACTTCACTGTCAGACACTATTGATTGACTGACTGGCTTTTTTTCTTCTTTGGTAATAACATACATGAAAAGAGTTGTAAAGGGTACATGAACATTTGTCTACATCAATAACCCACTTCTTGTGATGGCCAAGATTAAACTGATTGAATCTTTGCGAAGCATAAAACGTATGGCCATTCGGTACAATTGTCTGAAAATCAAGACTATTACTTTTGGGCTCTATAGCCCTAAAGTGGATTTGACAACTAATAGTCGTTATTTTCCCACTTGAAGACATTTTCAAGCCCCACCTTTTTTAGGGAAGTTCTGAATTAGTATTATCTTTCAAATGCAGTTGGAATTTAACTTTTTCATTTTTTTTGGCCTGCAAATGGGACATAGTACCTTTAACATCATTATCAGTAATATTTACTGTGGTCTCTTACAAAAACAATTTATTTTGAAAAATGAAAGATTTCTAATAATAACTGCATCCCTCGATTATCATGTACTCGTTGAAGGGGAATCTATTACGAACAAGACCGGAAGGTGTGTGTGGGGGGGGGGGGGGGCTAATAATGTTATTCTCGGTTTAATATGTCATTTGTGATACATATATCTCGCTCTATTATTCACATTTTGAAAAATCTACGACCACGCCCTCTTCCATTCAATTCATGCTTTCCAATCCAGCCCCCTCGAAAATTGGATCAACGAGTGCCCGTCACTCCCCCCCCCCCCTCTCTCTCTCTCTCTCTCTCTCTCTCTTTCTCTCTCTCTCTCTCTCTCTCTCTCTCACTCTCTCTCTTTCAAATTATTTAACCTCTGATATTGCTATACCGTGAACGAATCGCACAGTTTTCAGAGGAAGATCGAGGATTGTTAGATGAGGATGGGGGGGGGGGGGGGGATGTAACATGCTTGGAAACATACAAATCCCCCCCCCCCCTACACACACACATAACCAAACCCACCCCGTCTGCCCCTGATTTAAATTGCTCTATTTTCATTTACAAATAACATAGTCTCAAATTGTGTTTCTGTTGCCACATAGGCCTGTCTCCTGAACATTTTCCCATCCTCCTTCCTTCTGGAAAATAATTTACTTCGAAAAGAGATGAGAAACGAGCCAATAAGACGATGCCGCCACCCGCTGAGCTGGGAGGCGGTTTGAGATGTCAGTCCCCGCCGAGCGAGCCGGGCAAATAAAAGGGCGCGTCGTGTATCCACCCTAGCCGCTCTCCGATATCATCTCTCCCAAGACGTGTCTTGGGTCGAGCTAAGTTAAAAAGGAAGAAATTCCTCCTTCTCATCTCCTTCCTCCTCCTCTTCTCTCCTCCCCTCTTCGTCTGGAATATTCCCTTTGGCAGCTTCACCCTACAGGGCTACCAGTTCAGTCGCCGCTGGAAGATTGCAGCCTGTATAGTCTGACTGCCGTAGTGCAGTGCATCGTCACACGCAGTAGCTTCAAGCGCTTCTGATTATATAGGCCACGTATACTTGTAGGCCTAGAGCATCACCAATCCTAAGGACGTAATCCCCGCATAGAACCTGGTATAGAGGAACTACGAATCTGCAAAGTCAGAAAGGTTCTTTTAGAATTAGCTATCTGGAAATAGCATCCTCATCCTATGTTACAGAGCTAACGAAGAGGCTTTAATTTTCTCTCGGCTGACGCAACATTCGTTAGATGAAAGGGTGATACTAGGAGTTGAGGACTATCATAGTTTATTGAGAAACAACCAGCCATCAAACGTCTTCGAAGAAACTAAAGGGGTTAGCACTTCTTGGAGGATCCGTCATCTTTCACAGTAAATAATATCGAAAAGAGCCTCTTATTCATCTTATTCTTCTTCCTCCTCCTCCGCCACCACCACCTTCTCCTCCTCCTTGCCTCCTGCTCATCCTCACCACCCTAATCACCCTCATCATCCTCATCATCTTCATCATCTTCATCATCACCTCGATGTCTTGGAGGTGAGATTCCTTGATCAAGGAGTAGATATCGTCTGGAATATACTGCCTTCAGACGAAGCAGATAGTCTGATCACCAACGAAGAGTGGCGTGTTATCAATGATGGAACTAAGGAAAGTGCTGTAAGTATAATCTGTTTTAAACCCTTGTGTTTTATAGTCATATACAAATAGTCAAATGTTTAACCAAATTGAGTCAACTGATAGATATATGAGCTTATGCATTTTAAAGTTTCAATCGATAAACTGAGATCCAGTTTGTTAAATCATGTTTGTTTCTATTTAAAGTGGGGTAATATTACTATCCCTGGTTTTAATTCGGACAAAAGGGATACTTCTTCCGAAGTAGCTGTGTCTCCAAATTTGATTTCAGAGAGGTAGTGAACATTTTCCTCTGCTTTTTTTGTACACACTGTACATTGTCATTCTTTACTAATCTACTAATCTAGGCGGGCCCAGTATTTGCTGGACCTTATGAGAAATCATATATATTCTCATATGCTAAGCCTTTAAAGGTTTCACTGACGTTTATTCCTTTCTTATTAGATATAAAATAATATCGTCGATTTTGATTCATTCACAAATACTAATGTACTAAATTGAATCATTGTACATATAAGCTGTAATACCTGTAATAAAAGTACACAGAGAGATACAATCTATAAAATAGAGAATGTTTAATTCACAGCAGTCGTAGATACTTGTGTGTAACCTTTGTCATTATTATAAAAACCAAGATAATCATTATTTCATATAACATGATCGAGAGTCAGTATTTGTCAATGATTGGTCATCGAAAGCAAAGTCATCTCAGTTTAGGAATCCGATTGTATGATGTTTCAATTACCCCTTCGCACATACTTGGAGTTCAACTTCATTCTCAAACCAGACAAGCGCGTTTTTGGCGCGATAAAACAAATGCTTGTAAAATCGAGACGAGCTGTCTGCATTCTGCTCTAGTCAATTTCTGTAACAAATTCAATTTTGTCGTATGGTGGGGTGTTATCATATTATAAGTTACATAAATATGATGTTACTTTGAATGAACCTCAGACTGGTGTTGCTCTTGCAGTCACGTTTGGAAGTTGATTCTTTTTCCTTTGTCTCACCGAAAAACGCTGCTATTAAAGTGGATAATAGCCCCCCCCCCCCTCTCTCTCTCTCTCTCTCTCTCTCTAGCTGTCTCCCCCATCATCAGTCTCACGCGCTGCCAAAAAGTTTCAAAACGATTGTGTTTTTTGTTTGTTTTTAAAGAAGAGATTAACCATATAATTGAATCGTTTTATTCAAATGTGTATTTCCGTCGCTGTATCGTGTATCGCAGCTACTTTTTCCACACGCCCTTTGCACTCTATTTTCATGCAAATAAATTCTGTTTTGCCGCGATTGTATTTGTAGCCCATTTCTCGTTTCATGTATGAAAGAGACAAAAAAGAAACACGGAATAGTTGCTGATGCCGATGTCTGGCTTTGACTTCAAGAGACACCTGGTTATAACAGGTATAACAAAATATGTGGGCGCGACTCAGCACGGGAGCTCAGCTGGGCATAAGAGAAAGCGTCTTACCCTTCCACAGGGTCTCTGCACGGCCTCTACGGGTCCGCTACAGGGCCGCTACGGGGGCCCATGATCTCTCCAAATTTGTCGGGGAATTAGGGTCGCCCCGGGGCCAAGGGCCAGGGCCGGGGAGGGGTTACATTGGGGTATCGCTTGTCTATGCAAACTACTGATGTTTAAATGTTTAGGTATTGGCCACTTTTCACAACGGTCCACAGACCTGAAGATGGTGGGAAATGGAGTAGCTCATATCTGAGCACGATCTATATCATTTTCATCGCATCATCGCAATTTTTAGGCTGGAAAACCAGAATGCAGTGTTTTTAGTTTCTTGAAAGGAAATTTAAATATTTAAATCAGGCCGAAGTCCGGCATTACAATGGTCATCTGGTCATTCATTAGTATGGAGTCGTGTTGAGCCTGACATATCGAGCAAAAGGCATGCACCCACTACTTGTTATGGCCAACATTTAACTGATTGAATCTTTGTGCAGCACAAAACGACCATTCGGTAAAAGGGTCTGAAAATCATAGGGTCTGAAACACTACGCATTAAACCCTGATATGCCCCCCCCCCCCTCTATCTCTTTCTCTCTCTCTCTCTCTCTCTCTCTCTCTCTGAAACTGTAGTAGCCCTCAAATAATGCAAAGGGTGCAGTTCAATTTCACCTCGAACATGAAAAACAATCATATGTTTTGATTAACAATGATATCTCGCCCATGGGTTAGCCCCCTAAAGATGGGAAGCCACGCCCGTTATCATATCCATATTTGAAATGGAAGACCACTAGAAAATACCAGATTATTCATTACTAGATCAACAATCATAACCCGGTCACGAACTGCGATAGGAAACGTAATATTTGTAATCACAGTAATGGCGATTAAAGACAGAGTATGCTGTTACATTTTGACAGTAGATTGGGAGTTTTGCCATACATGTCATTTGGATGCCCGGGAATCATTAGAAACGTATTATGAATGGCTGCGTAGATGTGTTTTTTAACGAAAGCATGAAACTGAAACATTATATTACATCATTATTCACAGAAAACTTTGTTAAACAAAGACGTTCCTGTAGCCGCGATGGTTTTCAGAGGTTGGGGTACCGAGGGGCTTTGGAAACAGGAGAGGCATGAGGGTCGCCCCCATCTTATGGCGACAATTAGAAAAGAAAAGGGGAGAGATATTGAGAAAGGGAACGTCGCATAAAAAATGAAGATGGTATTACCAACACCTATACACCCAACCAATCCGTAGCCGTGTTCATTTTGTTCACCCCCCCCCCCCCTCCTTGACCATGATGACATATTACAATTGTGCCTGGACACTCGTTAGGATGGTTAGCAAATCACTTTACATAAACAAGTAGTGTGAGTGCATACAAAGGGCTATATTTAAATAAATGAATGCGGCATTTTATTTTAAAAAGTCAGTCGAGTCCATAGAATTGGCCATTGATAAGTCAGTTGCGTGACAGTACAGTTCTGTTTGAATTCCGAATATTTTGTATTCATGTTTTACATCAGTATCTGTCATAATCATGGATTCGATATACCCCTGCAGAGTAAAACATTTATCTTATTTTCCACTCTGAGAAAATTCCAGATGAACATGTCTTGCCCTAAAAAAATTCAGGAAAATCAAGCAATTTCTCATCATTCCATTCACAAAATGTCAAAATGTCAAAATTTGTCTTCTATTCCTGGTGAAAAAAAAAATCAATTTCGCTCTTTTCTCTCAATTTTCTAATTTCGTTCCTAAACTACATCTCGGTGAATATGTTTGCCAGGGGCGTTGGAGCTAAACTTGTTTCGCAAGGAAATTTATCAATTTGTACCCAGGCGTGAGGCAAATATCTGGAGGGGTTCAAAGTGGCATTGACGCCCAAATTGCAAGGGGGATGGTTTTTGTTTGTTTATTTATTTGTTTGTTCGATTGTTTGTAATACTTGTTTTTTGTCTGTTTGTTTTTTTATTTGTTTCCCTATGTTTTATGCGTCTTTTTGCGTTTCATTCTCTTAAATAACTTATAGAGTTGTTTTTATTACTTTTTGTCGAAATAAATAAACTTAAAAGTGCGTTGACATGGTTGAGGTCAATGGAGAAAAATATGGTTGACCGCCATATATATATATATATATATATATATATATATATATATATATACATGAATGCAATTTGTAATCTGACTTTTGAAATAACGACTCTTGTGCAGCGGCCTTAAAGAAACTATGTGACCATGGATGTAATAACGTCTCCCATACCTTTACGGTTGGTTCCACGTGAGGCGTCATAATGTTGCCTGACGTATGGATGCGTCAGCGACTGGTGCAGTCTTCGATGCGCCATTAGAGCGTGGAATCATACCCCAAAAAAATAACGGTGCATACATTGCGTCGATTGACCTGGTATGTATGGATTTAATGCATTCCTAGACTTGATTAGCGTAGGTCCTATTGCAATTCAAAAAATAACGCCTCGTGTACAGTGAACGGGCATTGAACTCATTTCAAAACATATTCCGAAAAAAGATACCTTTAAACGAATCAAAATAAGAAGAAGTGTATGATTAGATAGATACTCTGTTAATACCAGGTCGTCATCGAGTATTAGCACAGTATACATAGAATGTGTAACTGCAAATAGGATTCTATGCATGACAACATTAAGCTGCATTCACTAACGTTAGTCAATGACGTCACATAAAGACCCAGCCTGTTCTTCGCCGAGTTAGTTTTAACCGAGCGCAGTGACGAAACCGAATTCCTGAGACAGCGCATCCCGCTGCGGCGGTCGGAAGTTCATTGCATTGTCGTATTCTAAATACGTTCACTGCTGACGAGAAAGATTATGAGTGAAATAATGGTAAGCAAGGCTATGAATAACAGATATCTAAGTCGAAATTGGGCTATGGAAGTATCAAATTATTTTGCAGATTTCAAACAGGGTTAGTGAATGCAGAAGGAACTGTTATTGGATATTTTGATATGCAAAGCTAGCCGAATGTAGAGTAGAGGAAATTAAAATAATTATTTGCAATGACCTATAATGCTGCATGATTTATCTTGGTTTGCCAGCTCTATATTTCCTCAGCTTATTATAAAGGCCTAGTAGATACGTCATCGGACTGTTGATCACGTGGTTCGTGTCCGAGTCCCACCACGGCACTAACGTCCCTTGACAAGACATTAATCTACATCTGCCGCTCTCCACCCGGGTGTAGTGAATGGGTACCTGGTAGAAATTTATTATTTGAATGCATTAAGCGCCTTAGAGAAGCTGAACTAAAATCCAAGGTATTAATACTACTTTGTGGGCGCCTTGAGACCCCCCCCCCCCCCCCTGGCTGGGATGGATAAGTGCGCAATATAAATGAAACAATTATTGTCATTAGTATTACTTGCTGTTGTTTGTGATAATTTACCCCCCCCCCCCCCCCCCACACACACCCGCTTTACACTATCCTCAATACGCCAATGACCGCTTTTAAATTTATCTGCTAAAACCGTTGGCTGAGTTCATGAACATAGTCATCATAAGTTCAATGATTGGATCAAACGAAG